CAAACTTTTCCGGCTTCCCAAACAGGAATTCAAGAGTTTCACCCATGACAGGCCACCCCAAGCTCCCCGGGGGAAGGTCTTTGGCACAGCTGCTAGTACTAGATCTGGTTCTGGCTCCGAGTCCAAAGACGACGACAACAACAACAACAACTGTGACAACAATAGGAGCAAGCAAAACAGCAAGAGAAAGCTCCATGGTGATGGTGGTGGGTTTCTGCTTTAGGGAAACGAATGTGGTGGGGATTTAGGCAGTGAAACGTTTTGAATTATATAACCCCGAACCAGGAGACTTACAGTGACATGAACGCCTATTATTAAGTTAATGTAGTTTTGTCCTTCAGTAACATCGTAATTGGAACGTTTGCAAAGTCGTCAACATTGAACCATTGCATTACTGTTGAAATTTTGACTATGGGGGGAGCGTTGGGTTTCAAACCCGAAAACGAAATTCCTACCCTGATGGTAAGCTCGAACCAATTTCCATTGCCTCCCTACAGCATCCCATGAAAGCTACCTTTTAAAGTACTTTTATTTTGACTTCATGTAAAAGTTCTTGAGTAATTCTCATCACCAACCCCACTCAAGGCGGTGGTTGTGCCCAAACAAGAAAAGTAACTCAACCATCAAAACTCTACCTCAATCACAAAGAATAAAAGGCGTTGTAGTTCTCATCTTCAAAATATATATATATAGATAATTAAAAAAATCCATGATAATATATTATTGAGTTATTATCGAATTCGATTTCAGATTAATTGAATTGAGTTTGTCGGATTATCACTTATGTATTTAATTCATGATACCAAACTCGTAGAATGCTATACAGAATTTCTAAGAGTTGAAGTGGTCATTTGAAGCTCATGGAAAATGAAATGACTATGGATATTTCCACGACTTTCCTCCCAACATTCAATACGATTTGCACGCCATGGATACCCCATGTTCTTCCTGTGGTCCTCGTGGAGGATTACTGTCAGCTTCTTTCCTTCTTGATTTTTCTTGAGACTATGTAATAGGAGGTTGCTTTCTCTTAACTCATAAATCTCACCCATTCACTCGTAAAAATTTTTTTTTAGGGTTGAAGTGTTTATAAAAGAACCAAAATTTATATTTTTAATATCAAAATCAAATCGGAAATTACTTTCTCTTAATTCGTAAATCTTTTCTGTTCGATATTTTTAATTTTAATTTATTAATATGTTTTAATTTTTTTAACGATTGAGACGTTCAGATAAGAATTAAAATCCACATCTATGCTTACTATCAAAATTAAATACAGTTATTTAATTATGTTAGTTGGGAAGAATGGTGATTCATTTAAAACTAAGTCAAAGGCATCAAAAGGACTATTAATTGACAAGGATATAGTTGGTTAAAGGTCCACATATATATATATATATATCATGGTGTCTAAGGACAATTGATCTATAGCTTAAGAGCCCTAATACAGTGATAAAAGCATCTTAATTATAATATATATATGTTAATCTTATTTTTCTTTAGTTAGCTTAACTAAGGCCTGCAAAATTGTTCCACATCTTACATTTTATTTTTTTTTCTATGATAAATTCCATTTTTGTGATTTCAATTTTTTTCATATGATATTTAATGATTTTCTTTATCTCAATTAACATCTATTAAATATTTTGTTTCAATTAATCCTTTGTGCATAATTTTTATTTCCACCTAAGTTAGATGATTAATTTTATCTAATAAAAATATCAAAATGCTTTCAATTCAAAATAAACTTATTCATTCACAATTTAAATATATTTTATAATTTTACTAAACTAAATTATTTTAGTTTAATTTCTTGTGAGAACATAAGTTATTCACAAAGTACTAATTGAAAAAATAAAATATCCATGTGACGGTAACAGGAAAAAAAATGAATTGACTTCAATGTGAGTAAAATTAATAATTTAAAATTTTCACGACCCCTAATTTTTCTTATATTAATTGATTAGTGTTTCTTAAATATAGTCTAATATCTATAATTACACCGTTCTAAACATGGGTTTTAGTAATTTTTTATTGATGACTTTCCAAGAAATCAACCTAAGGCACTTAAAAAAATCAAAATCAAGAAAACAGCAAGAAAGAATATATATATA